CTGTGGAGGTCCAACCTGTGCTTGTCACTCAGTGCATCACTGCGCTGTCCCAAGTGGAGTGAGATGGGTTATTTCACACTGTGGGGCTCGGCTCTGCATTAAAAGGTGTCTCGGGGTAGCTTCCAAAGAGCGGCCCCCTGAGTTTGTATGTATGATACTGATTGTTTCTTCCTAAGTGGAGCACTTTGCATTTGTCTTTATTAAACTTCATCCTATTTATCTCAGACCATTTCTCCAATTTGTCCACGTCATTTTGAATTATGACCCTATCCTAAAGGGCAGTTGCAACCCCTGTCAACCTGGTATCATCTGCAAACTTAATAAGCGTACTTTCTATACCAATATCTAAATATTAAACAGAACTGGTCCCAAAACAGACCCCTGCAAAACCCCACTTGTTATACCTTTCCAGTAGGATTGTGAACCATTAATAACTACTCTCTCAGAATGGTTATCCAGCCAGTTATGAACCCACCTTACAGTAGCCCCATCATGAGAGACCGTATCAAATGACTTACTAAAGTCTAGGTAGGCCACATCCACTGCCTCTCCCCTATCCACAAACTCGTTATCCTATCAAAGAAAGCTATCAGCTTGGTTTGACAGGATTTGTTCTTTACAGATCCATGCTGGCTGTTCCCTATCACCTTATTATCTATCCACAAGACTTGTTATCCTATTAAAGAAAGCTATCAGATTGGTTTGACATGATTTGTTCTTTACAAAGCCATGCTGGCTGTTCCCTATCACCTTGCCACATTCCAAGTGTTTACAGATGATTTCCTTAATTACTTGCTCCATTATCTTCCCTGGCACAGAAGTTAAACTAACTGGTCTGTAGTTTCCTGGGTTGTTCTTATTTCCTTTTTTATAAATGGGCACTAGATTTGCCCTTTTCCAGTCTTCTGGAATCTCTCCTGTCTCCCATGATTTTCCAAAGATGATAGCCAGAGGCTCAGATACCTCCTCTATCAGCTCCTTGAGTATTCTAGGATACATTTCATCAGGCCCTGGTGTCTTGCAGGCATCTAACATTTCTAGGTGATTTTTGACTTGTTCTTTTTTTATTTTACCTTCTAAAACTACCCCCTTCCCACTAGCATTCACTATGTTAGGTGCTCCTACAGACTTCTCGGTGAAGACCGAAACAAAGAAGTCATTGAGCATCTCTGCCATTTCCAAGTTTCCTGTTACTGTTTCTCCCTTCTCACTGACCAGTGGGCCTACCCTCTCCTTGGTCTTCCTCTTGCTTCTAATGTATTTATAAAAAGTCTTCTTGTTTCCCTTTATTCCCGTAGCTAGTTTGAGCTCATTCTGTGCCTTTGCCTTTCTAATCTTGCCCCTGCATTCCTGTGCTGTTTGCCTCTATTCATCCTTTGTAATTTGTCCTACTTTCCATTTTTATATGACTCATTTTTTTATTTTTAGAACATGCAAGATCTCATGGTTAAGCCAAGGTGGCCTTTTGCCGTATTTTCTATCTTTCCACAATGGAGAAAAAAATGAAGGACTTGGCCTCTTTTCATGTCAAAGATTGGTTTAATTAATTGTTATTTCTGCACTGCCTGGAGCCCCCTCACACTCTGGGGAGAAAACACCCTCCTTCCCGCTTCTCTCAGTGCGTCCTTCACTTGCTGGTTCCGGAGCGTGTAGATGAAAGGGTTCAGCAAGGGGGCCACCACGGCGTTGATGAGGGCAAGCCCTTTGTTGATGTCCAGGTCTTCTTCCTGGTTGGGCCTGACGTACATGATAACGCAGCTGCCGTAGCAGATAAGGACAATGAGGAGGTGGGAGGAGCAGGTGGAGAAGGCCCGTTGGCGTGCCGTCGCCAAAGGCATGCGCATGATGGCAATGAGGATGGAGAAGTAGGACACGGCTATCAGCAATAAGGTGCCTAGAATGGTGAAGAAAGCCTGAACAAAATGGATGAGTTCAAGGAGGTGCTTGTCCCCACAGGACAGCTGCAGCAAGAAGGTATAGTCACAGAAGAAGTGGTTGATTACGTTGGATTTGCAGAACGAGAGCTGGCTGATCAGAATGATAGGTGTAACGATGAGGAGAAGACCTCCCATCCAGGCGACGCTCACCAGCAGACTGCACAGTCTTTGGCTCATGATGGAGGTGTACTGAAGTGGGTAGCAGATGGCCACATAACGGTCGAGCGACATGACCGCCAGCAACAAAAATTCTGTAGCCCCGAAGAGAAAAAAGAAAAAATACTGAGAGAGGCAGGCGGTGAAGGATATTGTTCTCTTCTGTGTGCTAAGATCGGCCAGCATCTTAGGGACGACCACGGTGGTTATGCAGATGTCCAAGAAGGACAAGTTCCTGAGGAAGAAGTACATAGGGATGTGGAGGCGGGAGTCGGAGCAGGTGATGACGATAATTAGGAGATTCCCCATGAAGGTCATCACGTAGGCCAAGAAAAGCCACACGAAGAGGAGCTGTTGCAGTTCAGGGATATTGGTGAACCCCAACAGAATGAACTCAGACGCTTGGGTTTGGTTCTCCATGGATGCCCTGGGAGATGAAATGAGAAATAATTCTCTTTCGTAAACACACACAAAGGGCCGAGAATCTTGTGCTCACCTCTGTTTATAACAGGCAAAATCTTTCCACATTCAGTTGATGAAACATTCGAAGAGTGACAGGGAAGGGGCAGTTACCAAATGCATGGACATGGGCTTCATATCGGCAAGTACCTGCATCCGCAGATGTGGATACAGATCTCCACAGTTCACTTGACTAGATACTGATGAGGAGACTGAGAAGTCATTCTTCTACTCGACTGCAATGATTAGGCCTCAGTTGGAGGATTGTGTCCAGTTCTGGGCACCGTACTTCCAGAAAGCCGTGGAGAAATTGAAGAAGGTTCAGAGAAGAGCAACAAAAAAGAATAAAGATCTAGAAACCATGACCTAGGAGGGAAGGCTGAAAGAATTGGGTTTTCCTAGTCTGGAAAAAAGAATACCGAGAGGGGACGTAATAGTTTTTAAATATCTTAAAGGGTGTTACAAGGAGGAGGGAGACATTTTTTTATCCTTGGCCTCTGATTTAACTACAGCAAGGGAGGTTTAGGTTGGACATTAGGAAAAACTTCCTACCTCCCAAGATGGTTAAACACTGGAATAAATTGTCTAGGGAGGTTCCGGAATCTCCATTCCTGGAGATATCTAAGAGCAGGTTGGACAGACATCTATCAGGGATGGTCTAGACGGTGCTGGGTCCTGCCATGAGGGCAGGGGACTGGACTTGATGACTTCTCAAGGTCTCTTCCAACTCTAGTGTTCTATGATTCTACGATTCCATGATATACACTTTGTATCTCAAACCCTGCAAATATGCAGGTCTCCCCTTTGTATCTGCGGGTGCCCACATAGGCAGATGTGGACGCTGATCTCAACGGCTCATTTTTACAGATGCGGATTCAAATTTTTTATCTCCGCCGGCCTTTATGGAGAGAGGACGGCCCGTTTTTATTTTTTCAACGTTAGCCACCCTTAAGTAGAACTGCCCTTCGTTGCGAGCTGGTGCCTGCAAAGTGTAAAACAAGAGTTTCTTACATGGTCAATGCACTACAACAATCTGTTGGTATGAATTTGGGGGTTGACTATGGTAGGTTCTAACACGCAATGCTGTCTGGACCACTGGACGATGAGGAAGTGGTCTGCACAAAACTCCCATGAAGTAGATAGGTGAAAACTTCTCATCGGTGGAGGTACAGAAAGACTTGGGATAAGAACGTAGGACATTTTATAGCCTCCTATTTGCATGCTGGGTTCCTTTAAAACATTATTTCCCAGCAATGGTGGGGAAAACAAAGGCAAATTGAGAAATGGAACTCATCTTTAGCCAGTGTCTTTGACAAAGAATAACGGACCACTAGAACGGGAAGGGACCTTGAAAGGTCGTCACCGCCAAACCACTGCCCTCCTCGCAGGAGACCATCCCGGATGGATGTCTGTCCAACCTGCTCTTAGATATCTCCAGGAATGGAGATTCCGGAACCTCCCTAGACAATTTATTCCAGTGTTTAACCATCTTGGGAGGTAGGAAGTTTTTCCTAATGTCCAACCTAAACCTCCCTTGCTGTAGTTAAAACCCATTGCTTCTTGTCCTAAGATCAACGCACAAATTTGAAAAATGGGACCCATCGTCAGCTGGCATACCTTTGACAAAGAATCACAGACCACTACAACTGGAAGGGACCTCGAGAGGTCATCGAGTCCAGTCCCCTGCCCTCATGGCAGGACCCAGCACCGTCTAGACCATCCCTGATAGATGTCTGTCCAACCTGCTCTTAGATATCTCCAGGGATGGAAATTCCACAACTTTCCTCGGCAATTAATTCCAGTGTTTCACCACCTGACTGGTAGGAAGTTTCTCCTGATGTCCAACCTCAACCTCTCCTGCTGCAGTTTAAGCCCATTGCTTCTTGTCCTAAGATCAACGCACTAACCCATCAGCTATGGCTTGTACCCGACTTTGACCTCTCCTACTATAACTGGAGACCATTGTTCAAACCCACATGCCAAACCCATAAAAGTACCCCCATGCTACTCTGAGCAACATTCCTAACAACATCCCTTTCGGTATCTGCGGCCCCCTACACGCTCATCACATCAGGTGGCATATATCAACCAGTGCACAAAATGCCCCAAGCACGGCTACGTGGGGCAAGTGGACAGTCTCTATGCTCTTGAATTAGCTCACGGAGAAAAGACAAGAAAAAAAGATAAAAGAGAACATCATCAGAGAGCCAAGAGGCAAACACCGGATTACTCTGTATCTTGCTCTTTGGCCCAGGCACTCAAATGAAACTTGCCCCACAAACACTTTCAAAAGCTGAGAACGGCTACACAGTAAAACTCAGGGACTGAATTTATCGTTCATCCCAACGATCTGTAACCAACTAACCCCACTCCACGCCCGGCTTCCTCCCGTCCCTTTCCTCTCCCCTCCCATAACTAGAGAGACCTCAATGGGCCATTTCACTTTGAGTCTTGAAATACCCAGGAACTTCTGAGGTTATCCAGTTGTTCCACCTCAGCAGTGAGAAACTCGGGGACGTTCCCATATCGATAGCACAACTCTGTGTGAGCTAAAAAAACCCTCTCCCACAAACAGTAGTTGTTTCTACAAGAAGTATCACCTCATCCATGTTTTCTGTCCAAAGTCTAAGGCTACTATTATACTGCATATCTATCATTAATTTCTGTAAGTATATACCCTAAGGAGCAGTCCATCTATCTATCTATCTATCTATCTATCTATCTATCTATCTATCCCCACACACACCCCCTATCTATCTATCTAGTTTTTTCTTCATATTTCCCTCTTGTGCAAATCAGACCTGTTTTCATCACTTCTCAGGCGTTTCCTCTCCCCATTGATTTCTTTATCTGCTCTGTTTCTCTCTCATTTTTCCTCTTTGCCGGTTGCTGACCTGAGGCGCATTGGTCCCTGCCCTCCTTTCAGTGTGTTTCCCCAGGAACGCCTGAGAGCGTCATGGACCTCATTGCTTGGCAGTTTTCCCCGCAGGTACACATGAACCAGGGCTGTGGAAGGTATTTAAGTCTACCTCTCTGCAGGCCTCTGGGGAAACATCTCCCCTGAAACAATGCATTTTTTCATGGGACCTGCTCACAAGGGAAACTTGTCTGAATGCAAACAACCCTCTAATGATTTAGGGATGTGGGAAATCGTGGCTCACATGAGAATCAGAGAGCAAGTGTTTGTGTGGGGCGGGGGGAATTAACTATCCAAATTCTCAAGGTTCTTGGAAATCTTTCTTCTCCAGCAACATCCGGCATCCTTGTGGGGGACTAGTGGGAGGTGTTCTGTGGGCCAGGAAGCCAGGGTATGAAATCCAGGGCTGGGAGGGGCAGGTGGCTGAAGGGGACAGGAAGACCTCAATGCCGGACCATGGAGGTCCAACCTGTGCTTGTCACTCAGTGCATCACTGCGCTGTCCCAAGTGGAGTGAGATGGGTTATTTCACACTGTGGGGCTCGGCTCTGCATGGGAGTTCAGTTAAAAGGTGTCACGGGGTAGCTTCCAAAGAAAAGCCCCCTGAGTTTGCTGCGTGAAGTGGAGTCCGGCAGTTGAGTCATTCTCAGCCGGACCATGGAGGTCCAACCTGTGCTTGTCACTCAGTGCATCACTGCGCTGTCCCAAGTGGAGTGAGATGGGTTATTTCACACTGTGGGGCTCGGCTCTGCATGGGAGTTCAGTTAAAAGGTGTCACGGGGTAGCTTCCAAAGAAAAGCCCCCTGAGTTTGCTGCGTGAAGTGGAGTCCGGCAGTTGAGTCATTCTCAGTAAGTTGGTGGTGGCTCGTCATACTGCTAGGTGGTGCACATCCACATTGGCTCACATAAAATTTATTCCACACTCAGGTGGAAAATAATAGAGGGAATGTTGTGGGTAACCTCTACAGTCACCTTCTATCAGCCCCCTCTAATAATGCCCTGAGCCCACGCCAAGCCTCATCCATAGGACGGTTGGAGCATCTGGAACGCAGCCCCACAAAAGCACAGGACCTGGGACAGCCTTCCCGCCCCCACAGACACCATCCTATGAATGAGACTGCTCGGCCCAGAAGGCAGGGGAAGGGGCTTCCTCTGAAGCAAGGAGGATGGAGGTTAGACGCAGCCAGCCCCACGGCACCCAGGGAATCTCCCAGGCCACCCTGGGCTTCACAGACATACCTCAGTATAAGGGGCAGTCCCATTCATAGGATGGTTGGGGGTCAATGAGGGGACTACCAAACTGCAGGGCCAGGGGTGGTCTCCCCAAAATTGCCCTATGGATGGGATGCCTAAAACCAGGAGTGTTTTCCAAAGCTCCCACCTCATTGACCATCATGGGTGGTACAAACCTAGGGGCCTCTTAGAAACCCATTAGACTGCTGTTTGCACTGGCATGCTTTGAAAAATGTACCCAATACGTGAGTTGCCGTGGTGTCGTGTAGTTCGGTTTGTCGATCTAAGGGAAACCAGAGCACTCCAGAGAGACTGAACCATTTTCTTATGTATTGCAAGCTTGAAAAGTGGCTTGAAACCTTTCAGGGCTGCCGGGCGCCCGGGGACAGGGCCGTCCCAGATCATTCTGCGGTGAGGACCACTGCTTTAAACAGCGAACACAGTTTTACCAGCCTGACACACAATCCCTATACAATTTAAAATAGTGAAGGTTTAAAATCGAAAGCAATGAATGCGGCGCAAAGCAATGCAAAAGCAAGTAATAGAAGATGATTATTGTACAATAATTACGCCTGACGCTTCACCCGGATGCTACCTACAGTACCAGGCAGGAGGGCGTGGTTCCTTGGTTTCCCACGTGTCGGAACGCCAGGCACTGGCTGGTGCGAAGGGATCTATTCCTTCTTGTTTCATTGAAAGCAGGGCCCTGTGGGTCAATTCTTCTTATTCCCTCCCATTGATTGTTCTTCCTAAACCCAATTGATAACAAAGCGAGACTTGGTCGTTCTAGTCATAGCTACCAATCAACTACC